AATAGAACACATCATAAATAGAATACAATGTTTGAATGAAGATATGTTCAATTTGGATTATGCCATTTCCAATCTCTATTTCCAATGAGCATGTTAAGAATCAAATTCCCTAAAGCTGTCTTCATTTAAAAAAATTCTTTATACAAAGATCACTTCCTACTTTAATCTTCAAAAAGAAGCAACACTGTTTTGCTCTTAAACCACAAAATGAATCAATAGATATTGATTTGAAACTAGAAGCTATAAGTGTATCAAATTGATTATATTTTCAAAAACTCTCAGATAAGCAACAATAGCTCTTAGATAAATTTTTAAGATCAAGTCAAAAGGAAGCAAAAAATAAATACATTTCTATACTAGATTTTTTTGTAAATAAATGAATATACAGGGTATAACAAAACTAATGGTCACAACTGTAAGGGGGTGATAGACCTTGCCAAAATGAACAACTTTGACCATTTGATGTGGGGTTGGAAAGCAAATGGCAAGCCACAAGAGGGTGCCTACTTGGTGAAAATGGAGAATACAATAAAGACAAATAATAAAAAACAAAAAATTTTTATTATTGAAAACTTTACAACAAATGCTCAAATGAGCAACCACCAGTTGCAATACAGGCTTCACATCAGCGACGGAGTGAATCATGCACATGTTGGAAGATTCCTGGCAGTTCACAAACTCTGCAGCTGTGATGCTAATTCAGGCAACAATGTTCTCTGGTGACTCAATGGGCATCTTGTAAATGATGCTTTTTATCTATCCCCAGAGAAAAAAATCTAGGCAGGACAGATTGGGAGATCTGGGAGACCAAGAGACAGGCCCACCGTGGCTAAAATTTGGAAATTGCTCCTGGTAGTCTTACCGCTTCTGCAGTATTGCCGTTTGCAGCCCCATACATAAGATGTATATCGGCCTTCTCTGCATTCGAATATTGCTGTATCTCTAGTGACAAATAGAAGCTGAATGATGGGTTCTGCAAAAGGCAATGTTTCAGCTACTCCAGAGAAAGCACCCTCTCGTGGCTTGCCATTTGCTTTCCAACCCCACACTGCATGGTGAAAATTGTTTGTTCTGGCAAGGTCTATCACCCCTTACAGTTGTGACCATTAGTTTTGTTACACCCTGTGTTTTGTTTTGTTTTTATAAACAATTAAAACTGAGAAAAGTTCATACAACATATGAAACTTACTAAGAGTTAGCTATCCCAGCATATTTTAAGCACAATCAACAAAACTTTTAACATCCAATAACCAAATTTTAACTTATAATGTAAAAATTGATTTTTACATTAAAATATTGTTACTGGATGTTAATAGTTTTATTGATTCTGCTTGGTAATTCAATCCAGTTATTAAGAAAGTAATTTTGTCCAATATATTTTGTTGTTATTCTCTTTAGAAGACAAATACCACTTCATACTTCCATAAGATACAAATATTTTTCAGATAGCTAAAAAATATTTGTAAACAGTACCCAGTTAACTTGTTTATAGTTCATGACACATCATTTTACATGAGATAATAATAAAATTACACTGAGATATATATTTCACAATTGGATATCATGACATTTATAGAGTTGTATTCTCACACTTTGGAAGTATTGGTCTGATAAGAGTGTTTAGTTGAACACACAATTCTACTTGCTAAAGTTGCAAGAATATGTAAGTGTGAGAATCAGAAATGGGTTATAAAATTTATTTGTGTTATTAATCAATCTGAAAAACAGCCCTAATCCAATCCATTTTTCGATCATGAATTATTATAAAAGCTCTTCTCTTCCAAATATTTATTTAATTAAAGTAATAAAATGTATATTGTTTTTTTACATATTTTCCCCATCAACACACAACTCATTTTGTCATTTTTATGTCAAAAAGGAAAATCGAACTTCCTTTCACAAAAGCTTATCTCTAATTTTAACAAGCATCTTGATGTCTAACTCATTAGTATGTCCCATCAGCTGATATAAATCTATAATTTCTATTGGAAAAGACTTACGCATGAAAAGGGTAATTTACCACAAGTTGGGGAGTTCTTAGCCAATTTGCTTTGGTGCTCGACCCAAAAGTCATCCTCTGCCACTCCAGCTCCTTTACAAGCTGACATCCACCAAACTTTGCTGCTGTTTCTACCACAGAAGGAGAAGATTGACAAAACCTTCCCAGTCCTTCAATCAAGGTAGTATGTTTTGGATGATGTAAACTCTCTCTCTCTCTCGTGTCCAGATAGGAATTTTAGAACCTACTTTGTAGCTTCATGTGGTTCAGGGACTGCATCCTTGTATTTTATTTTGTTTTGTTCTTGTTAAAATGGTCTTGTTCTTGATTTCAAATATCAACCAAAGTCTTATCACAGATCTATGATCCCTCCCTCTCGGAAAAGCAACAAATTATTGTTTTGCATGCCTAATGCTCTAATTAGGCTGGTGTCAGGAAAATGCTACAGGAGGATCACAAGAAATTCCTGTTCCCCAATAAAATATTACTAAAATTCCATCCAGTGACCTGTGGGCAGAGCTTTCGGATCTGACGCCGAATACAGGTGAGAGACAATCATCTCGAGGGTCTTATTTGGGAGGAGGATCCTTTATCCTGTATATTTTCTTCATAGTTTTTGATAATTGCTCATAGATTTCTCAGTCATGGTTACTATCCTTTGCCATAGAAGTAGAATCATCTCTGTTTCTGATTTTGTCAGCGTCATCTATCCACAAGCAGTTCAAACAAAGAAATATAAGTAAGGTTAAAATTCAGTTAATATGTCGATTCTTTCTCCTTACTGTAGTTCAACAAAACAAGATATCTGTCGTTAGGTACGTAAGATATATGTTATCTTTGAATGTCTTTAAATGAACGTCTGGCTTTCTTTTTTCCTCTAATACAAATCTGTCAAAGAAAAGCAAATCTAAACAGAAAAATGATTGTTCAGGTAGCTGAAAAAAATCTTGGTTGACTGAGAGTTCGAAATGGTAAAAATGAAAGAACTGTAGCAACAACTGAAGTCAAAAATGCCAGAAAGACTGTGAAAGTTATTTTTGTTCGATGGACAGCCTCATTTAATGATCCACTGACACAGTGAGCAGATTCCACAGATCCGACATTTAGAGTAGTTTTGTTCCTCTGAATGTTCTCAAAGAAATTCTGAAGGGGAAAGGGTTCTCAAGCCCTTGTTCAGAATACTAAGGTCGCTTACCAAACAATTGTTACAAAAGATTTACCTTCACACGTATTCTCACCTTTTAGTAGGAGTTATCCCCTTGTTATTGTCTTCATATGTGAAAGCATAGGGTTTAACAAAGTTTTTCCTTCTGGAATTTGCCCTAACTGACTCAATGAATGACCAAGAGCAATCAGCTGCTGGTCTCAAGGTGTTGTCCAATTGATAACAGGAGGAAGTCTTTTTCAAGCAAATGTATTTTGCCTTTTCTAGAGACTGAACTGTCATCACAGTAGTTTGCATAAGTCTAGTCAATGAGGAGAGTTATGTTTGAACCTTTGGATGAGGCATTTTCCATCAATATGATAATAAGAAACTGTCAAAGAGGGATCAAATGGAATTGTAATAGAAACTGACTTGTCACTAGTTGGGTACATCCTGATGTAGGTTGGTTGGTGTAGGAGTTAAAGGATTTGTCTAGACCTCCATCTCCCATCAATGTCTGGTGGGGCCTATGTTGTTGAACAGGGGAAAACAAGATTAATGAGAAAGAAGTCCTATAGACTGCTGGAATTAAGATGATCAAGGAAAAAAACCTTTTTATAGAATAATCCAATTTCTCCCTATACATTTCTCTACAGATGATGAGGTCTTTTCTGCTCAAAAAAGACCAGTGGTGTATTCTTTCTCTCACTTATTTTCGATACCATCAATGTTAAATAGGTTGCAACATGAAGTGGAAAAAGTTCTCATGACGGTCAAACTAGGTTGGGTTTATTCTTTCTGCGAGGAATACAAGTGTAGTAGTGTAGAACGGAGAGTATGATACTTTTAAATGAGCCAGGATGTGGATTTGGTCAAATGCATCACATTAATCGTCCTTTTGACCAACATCATAATATAGCATTTAAGCCATCTTGGACAAAGTGGGCAGAGAGAGATCTTACCGATCCCGATCTCAGCATATATGAAGAGATCTCAATCCTTTAAAACAAAGATTGTGACATCACTCGGAGGCATCATTGGAATGAGAAGATTCATAGTTCAGCAGAATTTTGTAACATTTTAATTTGTATATGTTAGTTATATTACACCAATAAATATCAATTATTAGATTATTTCAAAATGAAATGAAGGAAATGTCCTCTGATGCCGCAGAAATTTACTTCTACAATCCTTTTATGGGATGCCCAAAATATCCACAAGAAGGTAAAGCAAATTGTTGATAAATAGTTGGATTCATTTAGTCCTGAAGAAGGTCCTATGTTGTCAGTAGGTCGTGCAGGTAGCACAAGGGTTATTCAGCCTCTCCTCTGTTTTGTCAGAGGGTGAAATGACTAGAAATGACGAGTTTGTTTATATTTCTGTAGCGGAGACAGTCAGGCAACTCTTATTTGTCCCAAAACAGTATGGGATCTTAATCGTCAGCTACCAGAGCAAAGTTAAAGCATGGAAGGTTTTGAACAAAGCCTATGACATTTCCAAGCAAAGTTTTTAAGAAAAGAGACACCAGACAAATTGATTATTTATACATTGAACTATATTACTCATCAAATCAAAAATCAAATGTTAAGATAAAATTTACAGTTGATAATTTATTCACATTGGTCCCCTCAATGAAAATGACTCTGATGTAGAAGAAGTATCCTCGGAAGAGGAGGAATCGAAGCTAGATGAGCTTTCAGTGGCCGATATAGCTGGGTACTCCAAAGGCGAGGCACAAGGCCCAATCGTCTATCTGGCCCGTTTGGGTGTCCCAGTGATGATCATCTGAGGAGTGATGGGAAATAATTTGCCTCTCATCTTACATCCTCGAGCCTCCATTGCTTATATATGGGATACCCCAGTGACCCATTTCTGCTGGGTCAGCAATCTCTCCTGGCACTGGATAAGTATTTGGTACCCGTGAGGGACCATCACCATAGTCAGAGGGGTCTTTCCTTTCTTTTGATTATGATCCCTTATTCCTTTTATCATGATCCTTTAAGCTGCAGCCGCATAGATTTCCTTAATCTCTGGAGTGGCTGACCGGGATCTTTTGGATCTGAGTGAGAGAGAATCATCTCTTGACCCCAGGTTCCCACATAAGGCTTATCTTTTCTTTAAAGATTTACAGTTGTAAATCTTTAAAGAAAAGATGTCATTATGTAAGTTTCATACGAAATTACTACAAGTAAGAAAAAAAGTAGTTTATAGACATCTTCCAAAAATTATGTTATTTGTATTAAGTTAGGAAGTTTCATAATACAATTATATAAATGTATTTTAGTAGTTTAATTGGGTTTGATCATTTGAAGCTATTCAAATATAAATGTGCACAATTGAGCATTATTTACTAACTCATCTGACTCTGACACAAAATATTTCATTACATTCTTCAATGTATCAATATATTTAGTTAACAAAATTTCCACCCTAAATATAAAATATATATAACAAACAAAATAAAAATAAAAAATGAATTGATATGTAATATCTTAAGAATGATGGTTTTACTAAACATATTATGAACTTTTTCAAGTAATCTAGCTTTTGACAATCTTAGTAGAAATCTTATTTAGAAAATATGCTTAAGGAAGATAGTGGAAGGCTTAATACAATGTAATAAAAAAACATGTAAGCACACAACAATTTTAGAGTTGGACAAATATTGAATCCATTATCACCAATAGAGATATAATGTCAAGACAAGGTTGTGGTCATTTTTATTAAATATCTATTTAAAAGAATTTTAAAAGACTAGAAATCACTGCAAAATGCAAAATTTTAATCATCAAAACTACATTAAATGTCATACTGTATGTAGATGATCAAATACTAATTGATAAATCAAACAATATAGCAGATACAAATAGGAGATTATCATCTGAACAATATAGCTAAGAATTATGAAATAAATATATCCAAAATTAAAATAAAAACTCTGTATGCAAGAAAAGATATTTGACAACTGAGATTAAAGTGGATAGGAAGATTCTAGAATATATATCAGAATCTAGCTATTTTGGAAATAAAATTTTGTATTATAACAATGATACAGATTTTAAAATAGAAATATTACAGAATGAAAGATCAATTGAGAAAATTTTAGTCAAAAATCAAAACACTAAAATTTCCTCTCTGCTAATCAAAAACTATACCAGTATATTAAGTCCTATTAATAAACAAGTTCCAAATAGACAATATAGAAATGAAAAAGTAAAAACAGTAAGGACATAGAGATAAAAAGAATCAATTAAGAAATTAAAAAAAAAATAATAATAAGTATGGCATACATCTAGGCAACTAAGTCTTAACCATAGTCAACTAAGTTATCATAGATACTAATAATCATAGTATCTATGATGTTAATCAACAAGATTCTAGCCAAATAATTAATTCAGCCTGATCAAACATCCAGAGAAACACAACTTAGATCACACATTACATCAAAATCAACTTTGAAACAAGTGTTAAAATTAATTCTAAATTAGAGTAGAAACATCAAAATGAAAATCCTGTCTACATCTGGGATGTACAAAATTCTGTAAACATAATACAGACTTTAGAGCCACCATACTCAACCTTTTTTACTCTCAAGCCACATACACATGATAGCAGTGGCATGCCGTGATATTTGATGATAGGGAAGCAGTGTTTCTGTAAGAAGCTGACATCCAGAGGCAATCAGTCAATTGCACGTCAGTGATGGTCTAGAGCAGTGTTCCACAACCTTTTTCTACTCGCAGCACACCTATGACTCCATATGACTCAACACAGCATAGCAAAATGTTATTCCCCTCAAAAACATATGATATGATACTATTAATAAAATTTTGTAATGCCATAAACCTATTATTACTATTATGTTGAGTTTTGTGAGTTACACTCGGTTGACACTGATGGCTGTGTACTATGCCAGACCAGAGTCAAGACATAGTAACTTCAAAACAAGACAAAAATTAAATGAGTGTGTCAGTGTGTGTCTGTATTCAGGAATTTCCTAACAATATGACACATATTCAATACAGTGGCATTCTGAAGTGTGATGTATGTGTTTCTATTCAATTTTAATGTTCCCAGGCTTTTGTGTAGAATGTGTGGTATGACACCTGTAGAGGAGAGGACAACAGGTACAATAAGCACCCTATCCATCCTCCACAGATTTCTTATTTCCTGGGCAAGTTCTGTGTACTTACTGACTTTTTCAGTGCATGTGTTTTGTACATTGTGAGTGTTTGGAATGGCTATGTCTCTAATGTATGTGATTTTATTGTGTTTGTCAATGAGTGGGATGTCTGGTCTATTGTGGTAAATTGTTTTATCTGTGATTTTGGCTCTGTCATAGTACATTTTTGCTTGTGCAATACTGTCTGTGGAATGCATTTGTATGAATAGTATGGTTCGTGGATGTCTAATAATTTGTGTTTGTTTGCAAGCTCTTGGTGTATTATATTTGTTACTTGATTATATCTGTGTAAATTATCTGTCTGTGCCAAGAGCTTAAAACCAGAAGTGATGTGTTATATGGTTTCTGGCATAATGTGACATTTTCTGCATGTGTCATTTATGATTGTTATATCTTTGAGTATGTGTTTTCTGTAGTTTTTAGTATTTACGACCTGATCCTGTATGGCAATCATGAATCCTTCCGTCTCCCCAAAGAGGCATCCCCGAGCTAACCAGCTGTTTGACACAGTTTTGTCAACAAAATCCTGGGCCAGGTCATAGGGATGTCTGCCATGGAGTGCCTTTTGTATCTATAATTGCTTAATGGTGTCTATGCTATTTATATGTTGTGTCATGTCCATATGTTGTGAATGTAAATTTAATGGTGTATTACTTGAGTCTGCTAGAGTTACTGCTTTATGTAACTGTGATGTTTCTTGTTTTTTGTAGAAAAACTCTCGCAATGTCTGTGTTTGTTTGTTGTGGAGGTTAACTATGTCGATCAGACCACGTCTGCCACCTTTATGTGGAAGGGATAAACTTTTTATGGCATATTTAGGATGATGTTGTTTATGCTTAGTAAGTGTTGTTCTTGTTTTCATTTGGAGTTGCTTAAGATCTGTGTGAGTCCAATATATAACTCCAAAAGAGTAAGTGAGTACTGGGACGACATACGTGTTTATTGCTTTAACATCATCTTATTTCATCAGTGAATGAAATACAAACATAAGAAACACAACGACTATGATAAAAATATATAAGTAAAACTTGAAATTAATAGAATATGTAAAAGTTCACATCACACCTTTCACGTGTGATGGCACACCAGTTGCGGAACACTGGTCTAGGGCAGTGTTTTTCAACCTGTGGTGCAGTGCGACCCCCAGGGAGGTCGCAAAGCCTTACATGGGGGTTGCAGGTAAAAGAAAAAGACAAGTGTTTGTAGGTCCTACACTACAATAAAAAACTACAATTTCAGTGAGAAGGCTGTGCCTGTTTATTTTACAGTACAATTAGTTTTTTCATCGATATTTAGGTCTCAACAGAAAGAAAATTAAATACGTAGTTTTTAAAATCACCAATATAGTTTTAATATGGCCCTGGGAATCGGCAGAATTTTTTAACTTGTAAAGGGGTCGCGTATTCAAGAAGGTTGAAAAACACTGGTCTAGGGTCCATTCGTATTGTTTATTCAATAAGCCAGTAAAAACCGTAGACTTTTCTAAATGTTTTTTTAATATCACAATTACATTTCAAATTGCTAGCCATGATATAAGGGCTATAATTAAAAATAAAATAATAAAAACTTACTTGGTGAAATAAAATGTGTGGTGGATGTACCAGTACATACCTGGTACAAAATATATTCTTCAATTGTATGAATATACTTTTAAAGAAAATTATAATTAAATATAGCTTTGTAAAGAAATGTACATAAAAATAACATAAAATCTTCTTTACTTTTTAAATCTTAAAACAATGCACTTAGTCAAATAGCTCCCTACGAGTGGCTAATGGATGGAATCGAAGATGGTTGCAGAGCGTGCATACACACAGACTGCCAAATCCCCAAGGTGCCGATACCGGTCAATGTCAAATATCTCTTTTGTCGCATCACTAGTATATTTCAAAGGACACGACAGGGATGTTGTAGATTTTAAACATTTCTCACCATAGCTGTAAAAATCTAAATATGTTAAACTTAATAGTCATTTGTTTTCTAACTAATTCGTTTTAGAACTAAGTGTCCTCAGAAATTCCCAAAATCTTTTCGGTCACTCTCATTGAACTGAAAAAATTTCTGTCTTTATTACATTAGTAATACGAAGAAATCAGTCTCCATTGTACTCGGCTAGAGATGGTTCAGTTAAGCTTTAGTTTAAGTAAAATTTCAGCTTTCATCAGAGTTTTGTTTATGTCCCCAATTCCCTAATCGCTTAATTATTCTACTTCTTAAGTAGAAATAAGTCAAAACCAGTTACTTTGTACTCAAATATTTGTAGTCTTGGGAAAAAAGTGGAAAAACAAATTTTTATGACAAACGGATACATAAATCTTAAATTCAGGAAAATAATTAAGAAAAATAAATTTTAGAGCTTTTTCTGTACCTCGTGCATCTCTCTCATTCATTAAATTTAGTTGTACATGATGCTGTTGAAGTAACAGTTAATTTTTTAACATTATACAAGAATTGTACATGTTTTTTTCTACATCCCCTTAAAGATGGGACATACAAAATCATAATATCACTGGTTTAACATTGAAATCCATGAGTAATATAAAATTGGAGAGCTGAATAAAAATATCATATATTTTAATTTTAGTTTAATTTAAACTCCTGTCAACTATACAGAACTATCATAAAAACACACCAGTAAATTCTTATCAGTTGGGTTAAGTTATAAATCTACTCATGATTCACGTAATCGGGCAAGGGCAACCAAATATCTAGAGGCAGGCAGCTAACAACCCAGAACCAGTCCTGGATAGAATTGGATGCGGTATACATGTAGCATCCACCCAAGGTCCTAGGCTTCCACCAGCTAAAC